GACTATCACAAGTGGTTGCCTACATCAATGAGACGGGTTTAGAGTGCAAATTCGCAGCCACAAAGATAATCGCTAGTACCAGAACTGAGCAACCCCGAAATTGTTTGAAGCCCGGGCCTTCGACGACAACTCAGTCAAACGATTTGGCACCGGCAGAATACAGAGCTGTGCACAGTCGCCCTACAATTGCTGCTTGTATGTGTTCTGCTGTCAGCTACGACGATGGACTCCGGTAGGGGTTCCAAGGTTCATCCAAAGAGGCCATTGTCCCGGCTGTATGCCGAATATGATGCCTCAACTATAGGAACTTATCAACCGTGATGCGAATTTAATCGGGGTCTGGAAGCTCAAGAAGCTACGGTTCAAACAGTATTCTCTTGTCCAGAGGAGATCCAACGGCATTACGCAATGACCCCATTCCTGGTTGATATTCATCAGGCGTCTATGCAAAAGAAGGCCTTTCGGCTCGAGCCATAACATACAGGGACATATATTATGCTACTCGTGATGAGTAGGTATGTATAATTACTTTTTTTCTGTTCGCTTTTCGCCTGTAATCATGTCACGGACTTTTCCCACTGTTACAACCATCATTGACAACCATCGTTGACACACTGCGATATTTATCCGCGTGTCCTTATTCACCACTTCCCACGGTCTTTGTTCCCCACACTGTGTCCTTATTCGCCCCCTCATTCTTTGATTCCTGTCCTGTGTCCCCATTCTCTTATAAACTGGCAGCAACGCGTCTGCGTCATTCACAACACTGCTCGTCTATGCAACTTGAATGTATATCCACACATCTTTTGATTTCTACCTCGCATTTTAACCTATCGTGTAGCTAATCTTACAGTTTATTTCTGTAGAACCGCCATAACCAAGTTATTCCGACCGCCTCTTGACACAGTTTCTGACCTCGGGCGCGTCTATAGAGGTGACAAAACAAGCACTGAATCAGAAGGGACCAAACATTATTTGCACGTTCTGCATCGATAGACTTTTTGGCCACTTTTTTACCAATAGGGAGCTCAAAGGCGTTAGCCTATTTTTTACTGAGTAAAACTGATCTGAAAAGTTTATTTTTGAAGGAACTCCCAGTAATTCTAAAACAAGAGTAAAAATATCAATCAATCACCGCATATTCATTCTTAAGACAAAAAACATAAAAGTCCCAGGAAATAGCAATGGGTGTCGCGTCTTCGAAGACAGAAAGAGAGTAGAAACAAGCATATCGAAAGAGTGAATATTAGTATTAGCATTGAAAGGGGGCTAAAACA